TTTAATTCTTGGACTGTATCACCTATATTGTGACTTAGTTTTCATGAATCTAGCTCATTTCACTGAATGATCTCTGCCTGCTTTTTAAAAAATAATCCATGAATTCTCTTTTTTTCATAATTTTTAAAAGATTTTAATTATAATAGTAAAAGCAAATACGAACTAAACTCAGAAAAAGAAGAAGAAATAGAAAGAATAAAAAGTGCAAAGAAAGAAAAAGAAAAAGAAGAAAGTAAGAAAAAGGAAAAGGAAAAGAAAAGAAATATGTAAAGAAGTGACTTGCAATCTTCATCATAAATAAAAAAAAATTTGATAACTCTTTACCCTATATGGTTACAAACAAAAATCTCTTCTTCCCATAACCCATCCCTTATCTATATGCAAATCCATAAAATCAACCTTTCAGCAAAAAGTCTGTAAAGGGTTACCAGAGCTTTATAAAAACATGTCTTATTTTAACCTTGATCAAACAAAACAATGTTATATTCCTTCTTTTTACTTCTGATGATCTTGATCTTTAATTCTGTCAGATATTGTTGTAGGATTTGACCTCTCTTCAATTTTTCTTTTTCCCATTGCAGAAGCTTCTTTGAGGCTTTAGAAAACCTTTTGTAGATCCAGTAAAAAGTCATTATCCAGGTCATTCTCTTGGTTTGTCATTTGTATGTCCACTTTGATTTTCAAAACTTTAATGAGCTTCTTTTGTATATCCAGTAAAAAGTCCTTATTAGGGTCATTTTCTTCATTTGTCATTTGTATTCCACTTTAACTGCCTTCTCTATCTGCTATTCTACACTTTCTAATTCTAGTATTTCTGCATCAGATTTAACTTTTTGGACATAGTCTATCCATAGAAGCAGACATCATTACTGACATTTCTGATATTGTAGCTACTAATATCTAGTCCCATTCTTTGAAAGTCTCCTGAAGTATTTCAAATGTTATAGCATTTTGTGTCATTTGGTAAATCCCCATACTAACCGAAAACCAGAGGCAAATTTACACTTTTTTTTCCTTTCCCTTTTCTGCCTGGAATCTTTAGTCCCCTCTAGTGTCCAATTTCTGAAATCATAAAGTCTCAAATTTCTGTTATGACTTAGATAGACCAAACAATCTGGTTCCCATGAAATACCGTTTCTTCAAAATGTTATTTAGCTTTTTGCTGTTTATTTCCAATTCTATAAATTCTTATAGTTAGTTTTTCTTTTGTTCAAGAAGGAAGGTAAACTCACCAGGTGGCTTTTCAAAGATCTCTAATAGTCTTAGAATAGTAAATAAGCAATTTCCAGAAGTGATTAAAAGGTGAGGTTGGCGAACTCAGGGTCCTTTAAAAGGCTCCACCACAAACGAGCATGATGCCAGTCCCTTCATCTCCTGGCACTCAGACCCGTGTGAGACTGCTGCCCTGCAGTCTCCTCATGAGGAGCAGCCATCCAGAGCACATGTGGGTGATCTCCCGTCCTCTCCTTAACCGGAGAGTTGCCAAAGAACTGGTCTACTCACCGGTTCTTTGTTCTTTGTCATGGCCATCATCTCCATTTTTTCAGAGACGTGTTTAGTTTGCCATGCCTCCCCTGGAAGTCCACCATTACATACATACATTAAATCATAACAGTAATTTCAGGATTCTCTTCAGCCACTGTGTATCAGGAACTGAAATAATTAACATGATATCAGAAATAATAAAATTTAAAATAGTCAACCTTCTAGGGTTGCTGATTGAGATAATATATGTTGTGTGCAATCCACATGCTAACTAGCATAGCAGCTCTGAAATTAAATTTGCTGCTGTGCTGATGATCCCACGGCATTCAAGACTGCAAGTCAGCAAGTAATTTTTTAAAGAATGGACATTCTAGAATGAAAAAGTCTAATGATAAAAGAGGCTTAAATCATTCATATATACCAGCAATCTTAGAAATTATAATTAAAATGCACATCTTCAATTTTAAACTGTGCAAGTAGCAGTACCACATTTATTTATTTTCCTACCTTTCTTTACAGTTTCTGTACATCATGCCAGTCACTAAGACTCTTGGTTTTATTATGCAAAAACATAGAAAGAAAAACATCATATAAATTTTAATATAATAAACAACAGTTGGTTAGCAGTCATATTACTGGAGGCAATATTCCTGGAAGCTTACTTAACAAACAGGAACTTCGCTTTGGTAGGATTTAAGCTGAGGTTGTCTGTCCCCATCCAGATAGGGTTTTGGACATGTTTTTAAGGATCTATTATTATACCCAGCAGTGTTCCTTAAACTTTTTTCTCTCAGGACCCCTTCCCACTTTTAAAAATTATGGGGGACCCCAAAAGAACTTTTGTTTGTATGGGTTATATTTATCGACATTTACCATATTAAAAATTAAAATCTATGCATTTGCTGCCATTACTGTTTCTCATGATACTTTGATGGGTTTTAAATATTGTATTACTTTTCAACATAGACTGGCAAATAATTTTGATTTTGCGGACCCCTAGAGGATCTTGAAGGACCCCCAGGGGTCCTCAGACCATGCTTGGAGAAACGCTGCCCTACAGTAATGAAGCAGCATCCCTGGAATCCCTGTGGGGTCTGTTTCCTGAGTGGCCTACCTTGCAGGGCTGTTGTTTAGTCGTTAAGTCGTGTCCGACTCTTCGTGACCCCATGAACCATATTGCGC